CCCTGGGCGCCAGCAAATCCGCGCGCGAGAAGCTTCCAACATCACCCGACCTGACCCCAAACGGAGGCCCGAGGAGCGACCCCAGAAGGGACGACGAAGCTAGCTCCCCAAGAACCCCAAATCAACCCCTCCATGGCACGCGATGGCAGCGAGCCAGGTCCAGCAGGCCACAAGCAGATCCCGAACAGGACCCCCACGACTCCCCACACGACGCTTCCAGAAAAACGGTCAAAACTCAGCAGAGCCGCTGCGGCGACGACACCGCGGGCAAACGCCGGCGACGAGAAAAGCTCTGGGCTCGTGGCACGAGCGAAGCGATGACGCGAGCCTCGCAAGAACCCCCGAGGCCGCCCTCTAGAGGCCGCGCTGGGAGGGAGCCCAGGGAGGCCCAGAGGTGGGACACGCGCGATCCTCGAGACCGCCCGCCGCCGCCCCCTGCAGAGGCCCTCGAGAAGCCCCCCAGGAGCTCCCCAGGGGGCTCCCAGGAGGCCCAGGCCGGCCCCGACGAGGATCCCGGTGCCTCCCCCCCCCCCCCCCCCCAAGAGGGCCTCGCGAGGGGCCAAGATCATTGCTTCCCATCGTTTTCGGAGGGTGTCGGAGTTCTCGTCTCGCCTCGTCGAGCTTGCAGCGCTCCTGGACGGCCAACGTCAGGCAGGCCTAGACGGCCGAAGACGTTCCGAAGACGGTCGGAGCATGACCATTATCCGCACAGCTCAAAGATCAGCGCTAAGATCAGAGAGGCTGCCCGCGGGGAGACTGATAAGAGGAGACTGCACACCACCAGAAAAACGCGGTCAGATGGCGGCCGTTTGCTGGTTTTCCTCAGGGCGGAGGGCTCAGGGTGAAATCCAGATGGGCTCTTGCACCTCGAAGCTCAACCCGTCTTGCGATTCACCCCCTCGCAGATGCAGGCCTCGAAAATCCATCGAAACGGCACCTCAGATCCCACCCTGTGCCCTCCTCCCAAAGATCAGGGGGACGTAAGACCTGGGTACAGAGGACTCGGAAATCCCCGACGAGGTCGTCAACAAAAATGACGAGGCCGAGCCTGCATTTTGACGAGGCCTCCCGCTGCAGACATCCCACGAAACTCCTACTCGTCAAAATCCGAATCGCGGTCGTCAAAAAACGATGGCGAACCCGAGTCCTGGCAAACCCGGGTCTTACGATCCCCCGAAAAGAGAAAGAACACGCTCGGGTTTTGAGCCCGAGCGGCGAGCTCACGGACGGCAGCGCCGACCGTCGGAGCAGAGGCCTGCAGGCAGCCGCGCGCGCCCCTCAGCAGGGCGGGCCGTCCCCCGGCGGGCCGGGGCTGGGCCGCGCGAGGAAGGCGCAGGCCCTGGCCCTCCGGGAGGTGGGCCGGGCTGCGGGGTCCATGGCCAGCAGGGAGCGGGCCAGGTCCATGCCGGCATCGCCGAGCTCCGGGCGCTGGCTGCGGATCGCCTCGAGGCGCGTGGGCGGCCAGCTCGGGTACCGGGGGCTCCAGTTCGAGAGGCTGTGCTCGAAGCCTGGCCAGGTAGCCTCCGTGGGGGAGCCCAGCAGCTGCATGATCTTGAAGAGCGTGCCAACCTCGGAGTCCCCGGGGAATGTCGGGCAGCCAGTGGCCATCTCGGTGAGGATGCACCCCGCAGACCAGATGTCCACCGGCAGGTCGTAAGTGGGATGCCCCAGCAGCAACTCTGGGCCGCGATACCACAGGGTGACGACCTCTCGGGTGTTGACCGTGGGCGAGGAGATGCGGGCCAGGCCAAAGTCGCAGATCTTGAGGCCGTCCTTGGGATGGATGAGGAGGTTCTGCGGTTTCAGGTCACGATGGATCACCAAGCGCATGTGGCACGCGTGGATTCCGTTGAGGAGATCTTGTGAATACTGCACGACTTTCTCCATGGGCAGCTTGATGCCCTCCCTCCGGTAGCCCTTCCAAATCTTGTGCAGGTCGTCCTGGATGTACTCGAAGATCAGCTCGAACCTGTGCTCCATACAATGTATGTCTCGGAGATCTGTTGACTAAAACGTTAGAAAACTTACCTCCCCCCCTCGCTTCAGCCTGTTGGCATGTACGGTAGCAGACAGCGGGGCAGTGTAGCATAGCATCACATATTTGTTTCGACGCGCTGTTCTGGCCCGTTGCATTTCGGGAGGGCTCTCGCACTTGCCAAAAGAAGCGACACTCCCCTCTGGGCACGCAGGGCGCTAGTTTAAAGGCGAGCGAGGAGAAGTTAGCAGAGGTTCTGGGCTTCGATTCGACAGGTTCGAAGACTTCGAGCGCTTCGACCACTTGACAGAACCCGTTCGGGCCGACGATCTGAAGGTCCTTGAGCCGCACGATGTTCGGGTGGACAATAGAGCGCAGCAGCGACACCTCGCGCATGACGCCCGCGGGCACACCGCCCTCGCCATCGTGGAGCAGGAGGCGCTTGAGCGCCACCCTGTCGTTGGTCTCGCGGTCCCTCGCCAGGAAGACCGCCCCGAAGCTCCCGGAGCCGACCGCTTGCAGGGCCTCTCGGCTACACGCAAGAGTGACCTCTGGGTAAGAGTGACCTCTGGTGCGCGGCTTTTTGGGGGCCGCGGGGAGACCGAACCTGGGCGCGCCAGCCGCTGCTACCGCCTCGTCTTCAGCCACCTGAGGGCCCATCTGTGCCCGCACCAGAGGTCACTCCGGCGAAAGGTCACTCTTACGTCTAGTCTTGGGTCGGGCATGTCCTCCCACAGAGGGATTACGGACGACAGATAAAAACGGTTCAAAAAGTGGACCCCCCAGAATGGGGCCAACAAATGTTCAAAGAATCGTCCCCGTGCTATTTTTGACCATGTCTGAATATACTCCTCCTGTAGAGGGACGAGCCCGACCTACGTCCCCAGACCCCCGACGTCATGATTTTTTCATGACGCGACCCCCAGAGGTCCAGACCCATACCCCGGGACCGGTTTTTCATCCCGTGTCGTTTTTTGACGCTCCCGAGGCCCGGTGAGGGCCCTCAGAGGCCGAAAATTGGGAAACACCTCCCGTCGTGATTTTTTCATGACTCGAGGAGGTCTGGGTCTCGTCGAGCCTCGTATCTCAGGGGCGCCGCGGCGTCCGCCTCGCCCGGCCCGCGCGCGCCGGGCTGCGGCTCCGGCGCCGGCCCCCCGGCGCCCGTGCCGCGGGCCCCCGCGGCACGGGCGGGCTCCTCCGCCCCGCGGGCGACCGCGCCGCCCCGGAGGGCGGCGCCGAGCGTGGCCATGGCGGCCGGCATGGTGGGGGCGTCCCCAGACCCCCGATCGGGCCATGAACCCAGACACGACTACCTACCAGACCACCCCAGCCCAACCCGAAGTCCCGGATTGGACCCGAATCTCGGGTGGGGGGGGGTACGGATGCCATGTGTTTTTTCAACGTTCCCCGACCCCCCCCCCCCACCGGAAATGGAAGGCAAATTGAGGGCTTCGGGTTGGGTTGGGGTGGTTTGGTGGGTGGTGACAGACATGATCGCGTCGGCGAAACGTCAGGACGGGAAATACGGTCCCGGCACCCGGCGAGGGACCCCGGGGCCGAAAACGGCGAAAAAATCCTCCCGTCCTGATTTTTGCTTTACGACGCCAGCATGCCTGGGGTCGGGGCTTCGAGGGACGCCGTCCCGACAAGAGTCCGGACGTCGCAGGCCTGGGCACAACCACCCAGGCCCAGTGAGAGCTTCTGCTCCTCCTCCTCCTCCTCCTCCTCCTCCTCCTCCTCCTCCTCCTCGTCCTCCTCCTCATCCTCCTCGTCCTCCTCCTCCTCCTCCTCCTCCTCCTCCTCCTGCTCCTCCTGCTCCTCCTCCTCCTACTCCTCCTCCTCCTCCTCCTCCTCCTCCTCCTCCTCCTCCCCGCATCCTCAGACTCCTCTCCTCCTCCTCCCCTCCTCCCCCTCCTCCCCCTCTCACCCCCCTGCAGCACCCCTCCTCCTCCTCCTCCTCTCCTCCTCCTCCTCCTCCTCCTCCTCCTCCTCCTCCTCCTCCTCCCCCTCCAGGAGGGACCCTGGCCGGGCCTCGGGGCCGTCAGATAAGACGGCTATATCGGGCTGAAGAGCCGACCCCGGGGGATGCGGGTTCGGACCTCTCCCTGACTCCAGATCCGCCCTGCTTTGGCTTCCCAGACCTCCTCGAGTCATGAAAAAATCACGACGGGAGGTTTTACGCTATTTTCGGCCTCCAGGGGCCCTCACCGGGCCTCGGGAGCGTCAAAAAACGACTCGGGATGAAAAACCGGTCCCGGGGAAAGGATCTGGACCTCTGGTGGTCGCGTCATGAACAAATCATGACGTCGGGGGTCTGGGTCCGCCCTGCTTTGGCTTTTTTCCAACTTAAAACTGCGTCGGAAATCCACCTATAAGAAGCCGAAAAGGTAGGGCGGAAATTTCTGCACCCAACATAAAGTAGGGCGGAAATCCACAGAAGTAGGGCGGAAACAGCAACAGAAAAGTAGGGCGGAAATTGGCATCAGCGGGGCCTGAAAAGTAAGGCGGAAATTCCAAGCCCTACTTACGAATTTCCCCAAAGTAGGGCGGATCCGGAGTCAGGGCTGGGGGTCGCGCCACGAAAAAGCATGACGTCGGGGGTCTGGGTCCTTTTCCGGGCCAGGCGAAAGGGGGGGATAGCAAAGGGGGGGTTTGAGAATCAGCTCACGTAGCTGATTTTCCCGGCGCCTCCCAGCGCCGGAGGCGGCTATGTATCGAGGAATGGGCCCCTCGGTGGGGCTGAAACCAGCTGCACGCAGCAGATTTCGTACCCCCCCCTTTCCCAATCCCCCCCTTTCGCCCGGTCCGACTTTTGCGCAGGTGATGGGGCGTGCTGGGGCGTCGTACCTGAACGAGCGTGACCGGGCCGAGGCCACTGGAGCCGAAAGGAAGCCCGAGCGGCGGAGGCCTCTCGGGAGTAGGGCCTTTGGAGCCTTCTCGGGGCGTCTCGGGGACCTATCCCCAGACATGATCGCGTCGTTAAAAAATCAGGACGGGAGGTTTTTTGCTATTTTCGGCCCCGGGAGGCCCTCGCCGGGCCTCGGGACCGTCAAAAAACGACTCAGGACGAAAAACCAGTCCCGGGGAAAGGGTCGGGACTTCCAGCGACGCCGTCCTGAAAAATCGGGACGTCACATGTCTGGGTCAGGATGACCATGGGGCACTCGCGAAGGCGTTTCAGGGGCTGCTAGGGGCACTCCTGGTGGCCTGTTAGGGGCCTCTTGTGGAGTCTGAGGCTACTTCGAGCGAAGGCAAGATAGTACTGAATACACAGAAGATCAGGAAGCGTACAGAAATCCGCGCATGTTGTAAGCATTTGGGCGTCCTCGTGGGGCACTCTTGCCAGCATATTTGGGGGTCATTGGGAGCCTCTTGGCCCCTCTTGCACTCGTCTGGAACCCCCTTGGGGGCATCTTAGACGAGTCAAGAAGTCGTACACCCGGAGGCGCGTAGGACACGAATGTGGGGGGGGGAAAAAACATGACCTCTTCTCTCGCCGTGGGACTGGCCGCCCCGAAGTGGGGCCCAGGCAAGAAACCGAGGAGCCGGAGGGGGGGGAGGAGGAGAGGGGAAAAGGAACTGATGAAAGCGGAGAAAGAGAAAACAGGGCGGCGGACTGGCGAAGCCAGACGGGCAGAGGGAGACAAATCCTTGTGCCGTGCGAGAAGAGGTCACTCGACACTACAACTTCCACTGGGCCCTGCGAGCAACATGCGGCTCCATGCGCCAGAAGCGAGAATACATGTTCCATGCGATTTGATGCCACACTCGCCATTCGCCGCATCTGGGTTGTCAAATCTGCGCGCGGTCGGTCTATTTGTTCCACGTGCCTCTCAGGGGCTGGCCAGAAAGACTGTAGACAAAATGTGGTTTCTCTCTGGTGGCTCTCCCCTCTGATGCCCTTGCTACTTTTCCCAACAGGAAGAATTGTTTCCTTGCCGTGGCGGCCGTCAGAGGGGCCTGCCTTGTCTCGCGAGGGACTGCAGCATTGCCCACCCTCGAAATGGAGGCCGGCGAGATCCCCCAAATGGCGCGGAGGCATCGGCAGTGGAAACCGTCCGACCGCATCCGCCCAGCAGCGCTGAACCACAAAAATGACAGCCCATATGTCAGCTCGCTGGCAATAACAACCATGCAGATTTCAATGTACACCTTAGGCGATGCTTAAGAAAACTTAAATTTTCGGCCAGGGTCTCGATTATTCTTAATGCTTCAACGTAAACCCTAAGATTTTAATAGATTTTTTTTGTTTTTATTCAAGTTCTGAGACTATGAATTTCTTAATCCATGATTTCTTAAGCATTTCGCAGGGTGTATGCAGCTTTGCACACATATCTGTACACGCATGATCACCGCGGGGCGCTTCGCGCGCTCTCGGGTTCCAGACGGAGCATCGGCGGACCCTGCTGCAGCACGCGTCGTGCTTCTCGGTGTGCGTCGTTCTTCTCTGCCGTTCATCGTTGCCCTCGACGCTATCTGGACATGTCCTGGCGCGTCTGGGTATCCTGGCGCGTCCGATCCCCAGAGCCTTTCCACGATCGTCTGTTGCCGCGACTCCTTCGGGCTCGGCGTCGCGGGGGGGGGGGGGGGGCGAGGGGTGATGCGGGATGACGGTTAATAAAAAGATGGGAGAGAACGAGTAAAAGGATAGCTTTCTGCTACTTCTGCATCTGCTTTTCTGACTGGAGGAGAACGATAGAATCGCCATCCTCCATTAGAGGGTCACTGAAGAAGGAGTCGGGGCGCCTGGAGGTGCGAAGGATCCCAGACTCCTCCTCCTCCTCCTCCTCCTCCTCCTCCTCCTCCTCCTCCTCCTCCTCCTCCTCCTCCTAGGGCAAGAGACCCAGCCCTGTGCCGCTGTGCGCGCCACCGCTGCGAGAACCGCCCTCGGTGGAGCCCCCCACGCTGGCCATCGCTCGGACGTCCATCCCCCGCGTCTTTTTTTCGGTTTCGTGCGTGGCCTTGCCGCCAAATGACCAGGGATGCTCCTCGATGGCCCTCGCCGACGGAAAAAAATGCACACGTCCGAGCGATGCCAAGCACGGGGCCGCGACGCGCGAAAAGGGGGGCGCCGAAGTGGGGCGCCGGCCGCCCGGGGGGGCACCGCCGCCGGAGCCGCCAGCAGGGGGCGCGGAGGTCCGACGAGACAGGTCACATGGGGGCTCTCAGGGACATCATGCTAACACTGCATGTCCTCCTTGGGGGCGCGCGCTCGACCCGAACATATAGCATACACATCTTGCAGTAGATCATTTCCCGAGCGGTGAGGCCGGAAAGCGCCCGCCACGACGCGTATACTGTAAGATTTCACGGTGCGCGCATCGCCCCTGAGGGGACGACGCACATCAAGTATAAGTATGTTGGGGTGGCGCCGATCACATGCTGATGTAACCCGTTGCGACTGACAGGCACGAGGAGAAGCGCGAGAAGACATGCAGGCGCAGCCACTGGGGCCGTAGGTGGAGCTCCTTCCGGGGCCACGAAACGTGCGAGGGGTGTGCCAAAGCGAGGGCGGTGTCGGCATG